CGTTTCACGCTCATCTTTTCTCCATAGTCGAGGGATCCTGCACAAGGCCAAAATGGCCGCTCGTGAACATTTCCACCCCTCCTATACTGCATAGCGTTTGTCCACCCCCCCAATGAGACCTAGCCAGCTTCAAAGACACATAGGAAAGCGCCAGTCTTTTTTGAGGCCGGACTTCCAACGCTTATTGTCAATCCACGAGATCTGGTCGCCGGGGTGGCATCAATCTCTGCTCCAGTCACCTTCGCCTTCTGAGAGTCCAACAGGTCTTTGTCAGGGGAGCCAAGCAAACATAAGCTGATGCGGCCCTTTTCATATGTATGGTGGCTTGAGAGAGCTTCTGGTCTGCGGGCCCATCTTTCTCAAAGGCAGAGAGCCCCTCATCCTCAACAGAGATGCAGTAGAAGTCATCTATGACCAAGCCACTAGCGACATCCGAACACCTCGAAAGCACCTACCACCCGGAAAAAGTCCCCCCTGAAGCAAAAACGCACGGTGAGCCTCAGTCGCGCGATCTCCGATCATCCTGTCAGTCGTAGGGTTCTTGTAGTTGTCGAAGAAGCGCATAGAGAAGTGCATGGTAGATTCTCCGTGGGGCTGATCACGGACACGGGCATCCCAGATTCGCGCAAGCTCACATGTATGATCCAGGCTCTCCTTCTCCAGGTCAGGTGAGTCCTCTGTTCTGGCCAGTGTCCACAACAGGCTAGCGGGCTCTTGGTTGGCTAGCCAGAGTCGATCAGAAAGGTATGGAGATGGATCCCAAAGAAGAATGAGCCGCGAAGGGTCCAAAGCACGGTAAGGCCTCAACTCCTCAGCTTTGCTCAAATCGTGAGCCACAACCACACTGTCATAGCCACAAGCTCCTTGGAAAGTACGAGAGTATGGGATGGAAGTCTACGGCCACCCTGAGGAACAAGGAACTCTTCCCCAGAGCTACCGAAAGCTCTGACCACTCCCTGGAGATACTCTAGGGCCTCAGCCTGTGATCTCGTAGGCACTCTTGCCATTGCAGCCAACGGAACAAAGGAGCAATCCGCATGCCAGAAGTTGAGGGCCATCACGACCCAACACCCAGCAATCCAAGCACGATCAGCTCAGTCTCGCACGTCCTGCATAGTAACTCCCAAACGAGCGCAAAGCTCAATGCAATGTTCAGGCACCGGAGGAATACGGGAAGCCACCAGTTCGTAGGCCTGGTTTGTGGAGAGCCTGGAGGCAGGAGCGGGAGTAGCCGATGAAGTGGCGTAGTTGGTGATGTCCCAGTCAACTGTATCAGTGTGCACCTCCTGTTCAGGATTTGACGACCGCGGGGCCCAGGAAGCTCGATTTGCAGCTGTCTCAAGAGTGTCAGCCAAGACTCGGAGAGTTTGTGCTGTAGCACGAGTTGCCTCAATCAGAGCGCCAAGAGCGGTCCCGCTCATGAAGATACGCCCCAAGGCGTAAAGACGAGGGAGTGACCGGCCTCTGGAGAGGTCGAGAGGAGTGGGTCAGGAAACCCGAATAGAATGCCCAAAAGCCCAAGGCAACGGTGCAAAGGGAGCCCAGACAATAGCCTGCCAGGAAGAAGGCAAAAAGACAAGGGCCTGAAGCACCACAGTGAGCCGGGCAGGGAAGCCCGAACCAGGAAGTACCTGCACCCCACGAGACTAGCCGAATCAAGTCGGTCACAACCTGATTCATGAAGCTTGCAGCCACAAGAACCGCATTCGACGTTAAAGATCATATATTATATGCGTAAACTATCCTGGTCGTGCATCAAGTCGCTTGTCCACAACACCGTTTTTGAGACTGTGTCTTGTGAGATTCTGAGCTGACCTGCAGTCCAACGCTTGCGGGTAAGGCCTGTGGGTTGCAATTTGTGCTGACTGAGTTGAAAAGCAATGCCACGCAGGCAGTTGCGGCAACCATGAATGCTGCAGCAGCCACACTGAAAGACATTGCTACTCGAATCAGTGACCGGCATAAAATGTAGACTGCTCGTCCATACACAATACAATGGGAAGGTCGAAATGCACAGACAAAATACCAGGAAATGACAATGAGATGACCATGGTTTCCAGGAAAATCTGACTTGAACGATTTTGTAGTCCAAGATTGAAAGTCTGAAATCAATGCACGTTTTCAGAACTGAATGTCAAAGTATGTCAAAATGGAAAAACAAGTGTATCCAGCATTTTCGTTACATCTTCTCCTCGTTCAAGGCTTGGACCTCTGGGATCATCAGCCCACAGGAGCTAGCAACGGCGATCCACTTCCCTCGGCAATGGCTTCCGATCAAAGCCTCCGCCGGGCAGATGGCACCCTGGGACGTCCGCAGGAGCTTGGCCGGGCGATTCTGTGTGCCCGTCTGCACCTCCATCTGCACGTCTGAAAGCCCAGGCACAGCCAGGAAGAC